CATGTTTATATTCCTATTACCTGCAAATAGCAACTGTGAGCCAAAGTGTCTATGTAAAGCCCTGCTGCAGCACAGAGGACCACAGCTATGGCACACACCAACTGCAAAGCTGGGCTCTTCTCTGGAATCCAGAAAAACAGGAAGGGTGGCACGGAAACTGCTGGCCATACCCAGACATAAAACCAGGTTTTCACATCAGACCTTCACATCTTCACCCTGGGGAGTTAACCAGCTGAAGGAAAGGTACCACAGCCATATATGCACTGCATCAAGAGGAAATGTCATATCCTGTGCTTGTTCAAGAGTTCCTAAACATTCGTGCCTATACTTTGCGTACATAACTCCTTCTTAGAGTAATGCACTATGCATAGTATTTTCCATGCATACCTCTCAATCTCTTGAGCTCTGTAACAGTTCTCCAAAATCCAGCTGCAAATCTTGAAGCCTGTGAGGCAAACTGATGTTCAGCACTGAAGCTCTGCATATGTGTGCTGGGCATGGCTGCCTGCAACTTACGTATCCCTTCCTTCGAGGCCGCCAGGTGTGTATTAGTCTTCAGGCAGGTCACAGACACAAGGTCCCCAGAAGACACAGGATGTCTCAGTCTATCCTGCCTGTTCTGCAGCTCGTTGCTCAGGCCCCACAGCACAGCAGGGGCAGAGCCCAGAACGGATCACAGAGATCTTTGGCTGCATTTCCTGGCTGTGCCAAGCTGTAGGTCTTGGTGCAGCACAGGGCGAGGTGCAGCCAGGAATGCGTGGAGGAGGCTCCCAGGGAACAAAACTGGTTCCTTTGTGCTCTGGGAGGACTTACATGCTCAGGCAGATGTTGGTGCAGTACACAGACTGCCCTAAATCACAGTGACTTGCTACAGGTGTCTTTGCAGAGCCCTGTGTTCTTGTTCCCTGAACAGGAGCTAGCACAAAGACTATTAACCAGTGACTGCTTAATTCTGCCATTATGTGTATTCTTGTGGGATAGCGGGAAGGGAGATAATGACTGGATAACCCGGCTCAGAGGTCATTGAGCTGGGAAAACCAGCTTCTTTCTGACCTGTTTTACCACTGAAGGAAGGCAAAGGGGCTGGTGCAAGATAAGCATCCAGAGGCCTTTTCTCAGGCCTCTATTTCCTCTGCCAGCCCAGACAGGGCAGATGTGTGCTGTGCCTGTGTCAGACACCTGCCTGAACAGAGAAAATTCTCAGGACATAACATAATTCAGTGGTGTGTTTTCACTTGTGTCTTCTGTGGCTCTTTTTCTTATAAAATATTAGCCAGATTTATTCTCTGTCGTGCTGGCATGAACACAAAGCCAGTCTGTTGACTGTAGAATTAGTCTGCATTTATCTATTTATTTCTGTATTTTACATAAGTCTAAGATTCAACTCACTGGTGAGGAAATGCTGTCAGATACTGACTTCCACTGCAAGGGTGCTGATGGTTCTTCTGATGTTGGATGGGATGAACAGTGACAGTTTAGACAACTCATCTTTGAAACACAGGGAAGGCTGCCTTGCCCAACCGGTCCAAAACATGAAAGGAAGTAATATTTTAAAAAATTAATCTTATAATAAAGGAAGAATGGAAGGAGAAGGGTACTTGAGGATTGTAGTTGGATTTTGATTAAATTGTTATGATTTTTTTCTGTTTTGTTTTTACAACTGGATTGATGCTGAGTAGTTGTGATCCATTCTGTCCTGTTCTAGCTTTATAATGCAGCCTACACCATATTCATTTTGTGTCTTCAAGGATTCAAATGATTACAGTGACCATTTTCTACCATACAAGTATTCTCCCCTCTCCACGGAAGAAGGTATTTCTGCAGTACATGATTCTGTTTCAGTAGGTGTTTTGGATTTGGCTTTTTTGCCTGTTTCTGTGGTTTGGATTGGAAAAGAAGTTCTTCATTTCAGTACATGTGGACCAGGACCTCAACTCCATGGGGAGAGGGTGTATAAAACAGCAAAGGACAGTTCCACCTTTGCTTGAGAGGGTCACCAGCACAGTACTGATCTGCCAGGGCTCCTCCAGCCTTGGAGGGCTGTGCCTGGAAGGAGCTTTGGACAACACTCAAAGTAAAACATTAGCTAAAGGCTGAAAGGAGTAAAACAGCCTTGGCTGTATTGTCCGTGTTTGCTATCCAGCAATTGCTTCCTGTGCAGCTCATCCCTGCTCCTGCCCAAAAGCCCTCTCATCTGGCTCCAGTGGGGCAGAGGGGCTCCTTCTCCCACTGGTAGCCAAACCTCCTCTTCCTTCCACAGGATCCCACATGGCAGGGCTGTCCCATCACCCTCATAAAAAGCCACCTCCCTGCAGTGATCAGCAGCCATAGCCCAGCTGAGCTACCCATGCTGCTCATGGGGCACAGTGAGCACATTTGGGACAGCTAATTCTCCATAAAACATGATAATTAACGTGTCTCCCTTCAAGTTCACAGAGGTGCTGGGAGGCCATTAACTTTGACAGCTGTGATATTTCATTCCCTAAACACCTCTAGCCAGTATGTCAGTGGGAGATGTCACACAGGACAGCTCCATGCCCTTCTCTAAGTGTCTGTCCTCACTTTATTTCAGTTTATTTTACAGTAGATATGTGCCCTTCCTAAGTGGAAGATCCTGTTCATTTTAATGGCTCCACTCCCTTGGATAAGGACAAGACAAAAGTTGGCTGGATCAACTGTTTGCCCTAACCCAGCCTGTTTCACTATCCTTAAGCACTGTAATGATTTTCTTTGGAAGCAGGAAACATAAATTTAAATGAAGAAGGTAGCTTAAGGAGAAGCAAGATCTTTTAACACCCAACACTGCAGTTTTAATTGAAGAAAATACACTGAGAGAGTCAGAGTGGAACGATCTTTTTGTTCTCTTTGTGCAGCACCTAAGGCAACACTGCCAAAGCCATGGAGAAGACTCCTCAGCAACATCAAGTAACTACAGCAGTAGTCGTGCCCAGGGTCTGTATCTATGAAAGCAACTTTTCTCTTTTCTTGCTTCCATCCTTATTCCTGGATTGGATTAGCAACCTGTATGGTTTGTGTTTTCCATTTAGGCTAACCTCAAACACTTGGTTTCCACTTGATTGGAAACAAGTGTGCTGAAAGCTGTCTGCTCTTTCCTCACTACACAATGTGGACTGCTGCCTGGCTCTGGTCTGGAAACAATTATTTCCCTCATGTACCTACCGGTTCCGAACAGTCAAAGACTTATCCCTAGACTTTCTTTTCCTCTTTGCACTCTTATTAGCCCCTTCCTTTATAAATAGAACTTGTCATTGTATATAATGCCCACAGAACAACTCCAGTTCTGTTATTTGACAAAATTACTGCCACATTTTAAAGCCAGGTCTCCCTTGAGGGAGTTTTGTATCTGTAAATATGCCATAGTGAATTCACCCCTCTTTTATCCTGTTCTGATAGGATGAATTTTGATGGTGTTTGAATTTGTGGGACTTTAAGAAAGGGTGGGACTTTAAGCACACATTGTGGTTACAGTAGTGTAAATATTCTTCAACAAGCCCAAAGAATGGTCAAAACATCCACACACAGATGTGCAGTAATGCTTCCAAGTATTTGCAGATGCTACCAGCATAGCATAGTACAGCTGTTCTAAAAAAGAACATACCTGTTTATCTGCCAGTATTCCTGGATTTATTCTTTCTTTCAAATGTTCCTACTTTTCAACATGTATGCAGACATGAGAGAATGTGAGAAACAGAATCTGCAGATATTTGCACACAGAGGTAAGCTCATGCCATGAATAGTGCCATTATACTAAGCAGGGTCACTTTTCTCAGGGAGATTGATCTCATACTTTATTTCATGAAGACTAGTTCCCAACTAAGCACAGACTGTGAGGAAACAAATTGGAGTGGAAAGAGTCTATAAATTTCTTTTCCTGCACTGAATTCAAAATAGCGTTTCTCTTACTGGAAAAACAAACATAAGCTCAGTTTGGGTGCTTTCTGTCTGCCTGCCTGCGGGATTGGTAGTCCACACCTTCTGCCAGTTCGGAGACCTCTCTGCCCCCGTTTATGCTCTAGAGGTTATGTCTTAATTACAGAAAAGCTGATCTGCTGTGACATCAATTTCCCTCTCTAGGGGAAATTCCTAGCTGTGAAATCCTAGTAGAGGCAAATTGCTGTTCTTTTTTCTTTTACTTTTTCTCCTTTTTTTTTTTGTTTTTTTTTTGTTTTTTTATTTGTCTTTGGCCAGTCCAGACCAACCCCAAAACTGTCATCTGGGTTTGACCTTGACTACTGCTTTGAGAGTGCATTGGAGAGCCTGCTCTCCTAAAGTGCTGACGTACAGACAACTATTTCCAATGAGTTACCTTGATACACAAGCCAGGCTGTATCACAGCCAAGAGCCTGCTTCTCCTGCCAAGCAGGATCCAAGCCTGGGGGCTGCAGGTGCTGAGAAAGTGCTGTGTCCCTCCATGAATCAAAAAGGGTAGATAGTGTCCTGAACGAGTTACCTGCAGCCCTGCCTAAACCTGGGGCATCATCACAGCAAGTCAAAATGCCATCGACTCTCTAGAGAAGTGTGGGGGTCATCCTACCTCCCTTGGGATGTGCTGACCCAAAGCCACCCAACCTGGCAGGGAGGGCTTTGCGCCAGCCTTGGGCTCGTGTGAACGACCAACACGCTGAGAAGCAGCAGGACTGAGCCGTGGTGCCTGGGGAAGGGGGATGCCGGGGGAAATCGCTGGGTTAGTCGGTGCCTTCGAGCCGGGTGCGTGGGGAGCTGGGTGGCCTTTTACTCCGCGTTGCTGGCGCTGCCGGCACCACCCTTTGCCTTGAGCGCTGTGCCGCGGGGAGGGCTCGAGCGGCCGGNATCCCCGGCAGCCGCTCCTGGCGGTGCGGGGCCAGCCGGGCCCCGCGCGGAGGAAGGGGCGAGCCGAGGGCGGGCAGAGGGGCAGGGTGCTGCCCCGGGGCCGAGCGGGCTGTCCCACGCCCGAAGACTGGCCGAGCACCTTGTGCCGATGCTCGCTTTCGCACTCGAGCCGCGGTGCTGGGAGCATTGCTGTGGCTAGGATCCCTGCAAAGAGTGGCTGCCCGCGCTGCCTGGGCTCCGTTGAGCCTCGCACTGCCTCCGAGCAATGCCGGGAGGGATGGGAAGCCCTTTGGTCGCACCGTGAGTTGGGACTGCGCTTAGACTTGTGGGCATTTACCTGCCAGGAGCCTCACAGGGGGACGCACAGGGATACCGCTGATAGCATCACACGCGAGTGCTTCCAGAGGCATGTACACCCATAGCCAGAGTTAGCGCACTGTGTGTAAACAAGTTTGTACTCTCATGTGGGCAGTGTGTTTGTGCAGACACAGTTCTCAGGAGCTCCCGTGCCCTGGCATGGGATGGGGACTGCAACTCCAGTGCACATGGAGCAAACAGAAGATGATGGAAGGCAAGCTGAAGTGCACAGTGTCACAGAGAGCCACCTACAAGCTGCAGAGCCTCTCTCACACACGTACACAGCTACACACTCGCCAAAACAAACATCACTGCACTTCTCTGCATGTGGGGTCCGGGCTGTGACTTGGAGGCAGTTGCAGTGTTCGACATCCCAGACAGCAGATGTGCACAGGAGTGGCACATTTAGCCAGGGCATTCATGAAGATGTGCAAATCCGGGTTGTTGCACGTGGTAAGTTAGGGGGCTAACTTGAGATGTGGCCCTATGCCATACACAGCTGTGCAAGCAGAGTCTCCCTGTGTATCCTACAACAGAAATCCATTCCTGAGCCTTGGTCTTGCTCTAGGTGACAGACTTGAGTGTAACAACTGTAAGTTGTTTGGAGTTTTTATTTTCCGTTAGAAAATGTCAGGTTTTGGGGCAAACACTTGAAAGTTGCCAACTTTCAGTTCACACCAGTTGACTGCAATTCTCTTATTCTGTTGTGGGAATGACCGCTGGCTGTGTGTCTTCTCAAACACTGCTGCTGCAGCTGTGTCGACAGGCAACCTGGAGAGGGGGCAGGGAAGGCAGGGGAGAGGGGAAACAGCCCCAAACCTGACTTCCCCTTCACTCAGATCCTTCTGATGACCAGGCTGGACGGTGTCCCCAGGGGCGGCGCACTGGGGATGCATGCAGGTGGGAAGAGTCTGGCACGCTGTGTGCCCAGCTGGATGGCGACCTAAGGAAGGGCACAGAACTACTCTCACTGCTTCTCTCTCCCCAGCTGTCCCATTTTATGGAGGTGCGGGCCAGGGCCAGCCCAGCTCCCCTTTTTCCTGCTGGCGATGCTGCTGGTCCCTTCGTGGAGAGACCCTGGGCAGCCCCGCAGAACCTGAGTGCCGAGGCGGCAGTGGCGACGGCCTCCCTGTGCTCCCCGGCTGACTACTATGGCCGTGTACTGCTATGCGCTCAATAGCTTGGTGATGATGAATAGCAACAGCGAGGTGACAAGCGGCAGGAGCAAGACGCCGCCTCCTCCCGGACAAGTGCTGCCCAGGGGTCCGGAGACGCCCGGCAGCTGCCGCTCGCTCCCTGTTTTCAGCGCGGCCCCGGTGCCGCCCCGCTCCCCGCGCTGTGGCCCCGCTTTCCTCTTCCCACCACCTGAGGAGCCCCTGCGGCAGCCAGCCAGCCCCGGGGGGCGGCGGGGCAGCCGAGGCGAAGAGGGACAGCCAGGACCCCCCATGGCACGGCAGCTTCAAAGGGAGCTGCACAACGTGCAGGTGAACCAGAAAGTGGGGCTCTTCGAGGCACACATCCAGGCACACAGCTCTGCTGCCCAGCCACCCCGGAGCCCCCGGCTAGCCCGGCCCCGTCCGGCCAGCCCCACGGCACCTGTGGCGGGACTTGGAACTGGACCCCGGCCACGAGCCTACGGGGAGAGCGAGGCCCCCGATGCTGTTGGGGTGCAGGTTTGTGTGAGCACTGCAGAGCCCTCCAGGAGGCCAGTGATGATGGTGGAGCTGGCAGAGAGCAGCAGTCCTCTGGAGCAGTCAGGGCTTGCACCACGGCAAGAGGAGGTGGTGGTGGCCCCCACAGGACTTAAGGGCCAGCACCCAGCCATCAGTGGGAGCATCCCTGCCGTCATTGTCACAGACCTGGGGGGCCCGGAGGAGGAGGTGGGCACCCTGCCCCCTGGCAGCCTGCCTGTCCGGAAGCTCTCATCATCCTCAGCGTCTTCCACTGGCTTCTCCTCGTCCTGGGAGGAGTCTGAGGAGGACATCTCCAGTGACCCCGAGCGCACCCTGGACCAGACCCCGGCCTTCCTGCAGACCCTGGACCAGCAGAAGCCCCGAGTGGTGAGTCTTGTGTGCCAGCCCTGGGGAGGTGGGGTGAAGGGCAGCAGCATCCCTGCTCCAAGGCACAGCTGCAGCAGGAGAGCAGAGGTCTGGTGCAGCAGAGTTCTGCAGAGAAACTTTACACTTGCTCAGTGGTGTTTGCTTTCCCTCACATGAAAAGCTTTCAGACTTAGAAGAGGGATTCTAAGTTGGAAAATCCTCACATGAGAGAGTAGTGGTACCTGATTCACACACCTGATTCAAGTGCACAGTCCTTGCAGAGCTTCCTTGGTGCTGCAAAGCTGCCTGCCAGCATGCTTAAAATACATCCATGGACTGCAGTCTTCTGCTGACATGTGATTACGAGCTTCAGTTTTTCCTCAGCACAGCTTCCCTGGGTGCTGGAGGTTTCCCATGGTTTACATAAGCCTAAGGGAGAATTTATTTCCTCCCTGGAGTTGAAACTGTGTGGGCTAACTGTCTGTTCAGGTTTACAGTGATGCCCATCACCACAATGTCTCTGTGTCTTTCATACAGAAGCAAAATGCTCCAGAATTTCTGGTATTTCCCCTTTTGAATAAAACATGCTTGTGGGGTATCTTATATTTTAGGTAAGTGTATTTTTATTAGGTATTTATATTAAGTTCATTTGTTTCAGGATCTGTGCTGTGGAGCTGGTTGTGAGGCTTTAGGCAAGAACAAGTGTTTTGTCTTCTCCTTAGAGAAGAAAGATCTCAGAGAGGAGAGCTCTGAGGCATTCTCCAAAGGCATGAGACAGTCATGGGATTTGTTGTGTCACTAGGGGAGTTCATTGCATGTCTGCATCACACAGAATGTGCTTTTCTCTGAGCTGTCACACCAGTTATCCAGAGGGCTTTGAACCACTTTAACCCAGTGCAGGGCACCCATCACGAGGTTCTCCAACCAGCACATGGTCTTTGCTATCATCCATCTCTGAGACATTAGACTGATTTGAGCCCAACTCCGCAGCCTCACACTGACAAACCTTGAAACATGCAGGACAACCCAGTGGCTCATTAATTTAAAGAGTTTAATAAAGGCCCATCAACTTTCAATGATGTGTTTCACTACGTTCTACTTCCAATAGACACATGGTAGTGAAGCTCCTGCTAAACTCAATGACATGAGGAAAACTACTGCAGGGAAACATCTAAGTGAAGGCATCAAACTTGGAAGAACTGAGACTGTGGTTTGTAAAACACTCAGCAGGCTGAAATAAGTATCTTTTCTTTTGTACTCCTTTTGTCTTATTCCAAGAATCCAGGCTCCGTTGTGCCCAGGATGGAGCAGCAGCTGAGTAAAATCAGTTCATGCAGTTATGAATCTGTAGTTCATCGTGTTTGCAGACAGTTTTGTATTTTGGGGCTCTCAACTGATGAATCAGCTTGTTCCCTTTGGGAGCTGCTACAATCCCTCTGCTGATTAAATTCTGCTGGTTTTATGTGCATGAGCTGTAGTAATCTCTGCTCCATTCTCTGCGCTAATGACCATTCCTAGTGCCAGATCCCACTGATTTGCTGCAGAAAACAGTTCATTGATGGGCAAAAGCATGCCTGATGCTACTTTAGAAAGCTTCCTGGAGCCTCAAGCTGACTCTGCACAACCTCCCGTGGTCTCCAGTGAGCTCAGCCAGGCTGGTGGCTCAGCAGTGAACAGGCAAGGCTCATTTGTATTGCTAAAAGGTCTGGATGAGAGCAAACTCAGATCAGGTCTAAGATCTGAATGACTGCTGGGCTTCATGGGACTACTCAGGCTAAAAGAGATGAAGATCTGATCCAAAACATGTCAGGCAGCCTAAGGAGGTACACTTGATTTTGTGTTTCAGCACTGGAGTCTCAGCAGGAGCAGTGAGGTTCATTTACAATGATATTAATTTCCACAGGGCTCCACAGGTCCCATGCAGGGCTGATCACTGACTTTGGCAGGTTATGGTCAATTTCTCAGCAGGATTATGTGCAGATGCCTAGTAATTCAAAATTGATTTTGTATAAAGAATACCCAGCTTTGTGTACTGGTTGGCAATATCTTGTAAATTCGTAACGACAGCAGAAGGCAGCTACTGAAGCAGTGTCAGGTTGCACACTCATTTGTTTTCATGAACTTACTATTTCCTTTCAACAGTGCACATGGTCTGAAAATGAGTTGTGTAATGAGGGAGAATGTGTGAGAAGCTCTCTCCACAACTCCTGCTTTTAGTCAAATCCTGGGAGACCTTGGCCAAGAGAAACCAACAAGGTGCCTCTGGGTGCCTCTGGGTTTAGGTAAACGCAGGGCAGTCAGAGAGCCCTGCCTGTCTGCAGTGGGTGCTGCTGGCACAGGAGAGGCTGTTGTACCTGGAGGAGAGGTAATGACGAGTGGCAGGAAAGCAGTTCTTACCGCAGATACAGTCTGTGCTGCACATCTCACATACCATGTTTACAGATTTGATAAACAGCAGGCCTGCTCCTGCCCTTCCTTTTTGGAGGCTGTGTGGCTTAGCAAATCTGTTAGGGATGTCCGGCTGTCTGTTGTCGTTCCTCCTGACATCCCAGGGAAACAGGCAGATCCCTCCGCCTGGCATGGACTCATCCTCCATTTGTACTCCAGGTAGGAAACTTTGTTTGTGTTCAGACCTGAAAATTGGCCAGTAAGAAAATGATGTTGCCAAGTGAAAGGGAGGAACGTATTGTGGCCACATTTTTGGGACATCTGTGACTGATTTGCCTCTGTTTATGAAACAGTTTGCTCAGAGTTTTCCCTGTCCCTGGAGTGCCCTGGTGCTCAGTGGACTCACAGCACCGGGGAACAGTGGCCCTGACATGGTGGTTGCAGACTTGTGAAGTGCAGTGACAGTAAGCAATGTGACGTTTTGCTGTTTAATTGCAAATCCACTTAAGGTCTGAGTAAACTTCTACGTAAGGGCTTCTGCAGCTGTGGCTTTCCCCGGGCTGTGGGCTGCTGCTGGAGAAACCCCATGCTTGTTTATTGATGCTTGCAAGGTTTCAGAGACACTTGAGCGACTGCACTTCTCGGGCTGTGTGGGAGGGACGGGCTGTCCAGAAAGCGTGTTGGGATGGGGACACTGTGGTTTGGAAATGCCACAGGGGAGCCCTCTCTGCACACCCCCTGTGACCAACACAGGCAGTTTGGGGAAGGAACTGATGCCTCTGCTCACCAACCACCTGAGTCAGGAGGATGTTGGAAGGCACCTGCCTCCATCATTGTCTCATGCTGAGGGGGGCCATTTCTCCCCTCATGGCTGATCACACAGGTTGGGTGTGTAGGGAAGTGAGAAGGTTTGCCCCAGAATCTTTGCCCCAGGTTCTGAGTGGCACAGGCAGCCTGAAATGGCCACCCAGTCTCCTGAGGAGACACCTAAAATAAGATACGTTCTAGCTGTGACTCCCACTGACTTATTGACTGGAAAAATAGCAGTGTATTAGTTTTGCTATTTTGGGGGCTCTATTGGGTCTTCCCAAGGGATTGCTGATAACCAGGATTAACCAGCAGACTTGTCCAACTCTTGGAAACTGGCTGTACCCCTTAAGCAAAAGATATTCCAAAGCTGGTCATTAGTGAGTCCTTGTCATTGACTTAAATTCCCTGGTGTGTCAACTTCTCCACAACTGGAGACAAAGCAACAGACAAGTGTGGGGAAAGGCAGAAATTGTGCAAGCAAGCACGTACTATAGAAAAATGACATGTCAGGGGGGAAAAGAACCCCTTCCTGGAAAAACAGTGCAAGACATTGCAGTGTTCCTCTTCCTGGCTTTCCCACAGCCGCTGTGGAAATGCAAGGATGTACAGTAGAACAGTAAATCAAGGGACTTGGTACACTGTGAAACTTCTGCTCCTTTCAGCAGGCCGAGTAGATTTCTCAGAATAAGAGAGTTCCATTAACCTGTGCAAAATGGCAAGAACTTTTGGAAAAAGCTAATGGCAGTGCTGATGACAGGCATTCTTTTAATTGATTTATTTGTTTGACTCACAATGGCTGTTAATACAGTCCTGAAAGGAGCCAAGTTTAGATACAGCTAGTGTCAGCCAAGGGCCTCTGGGACCTTTGCTTATTTCTCTTTGAGATGTTCCAAGGCATAAGCTGACAACAGGAGTCCTGATTTGTTCCTATAAAAATCAATCAAATTAAATATGCTTTCGTTCCCTTTCCAAGCTGTCACTGTTATCAGGAAGTCTTTGTGTAACAGAAACCATGACCACATGGCTATGGTGATACATGCAAGCCCTGTGAATATATATCTTTATGCCAACTGTGTTTATGTGTTTTACTACTTACTCCCACTGTGTTTGTCTTAAAAGCTCCTAATCTTATGAGCTTGTGAGTGGTATCTCTGATTTAGTATCAATATAGTCTGGTGTATTAGGGCCCTGCCTGCTTACTCAGAAGAGAGACTGTTCTTTCATTTTCTGAAAGGGAAGATGCTTAGCACACCTGGTAAATTGCCAAAGGATGGAGTCTCCCTGCTGTGGGAAGATTAGGGGGGAGAGGGGAATGAGGTCGACAGCTCTGTGTTTCCCCTTTCAGAACACCATGCTAAGCAGACCTGACAGCATGGTGTGTTCTACCTGCTGGGATGAGATAAGGACACCCCAGTGCTCGGTGGACTGGGCAGAGCTTCAGGCTCTTTGTGGATGGAGGCTTTGCACTTCAGGGACTTCACAAAGCATCACTCCCTATTCCATAGCTTATCCTCTACCTACTCATGTGACCCTCTCAGGGAATAAGCAGCTTTTCTATGGGCTTCCACCCACAGAGGCTAAGTGAAGATGCTGCCATAACCCAATGAGAGACATATGGTGCTTCTTCAAGTCTGTTTTCATCAGCACTTTTAAGCTCATTGGGAAGGGTTTCTTCTCTCCACACATTCTCCATGATTGACAGGGCAGGAATTACATGGCACATAGCAGATCCTTTTCATAAAGGGACTTATTTGCTAGCACAGCTGCTGTCTCTTGCATATTTTGTTTCTCAAAAAAAATTCATGCTGAAAGCATCCATGAAA